CTATTTTTATTTTTAAATTTGTTCAATGTTCTGTATTACTATTTTTTTGTTGAGCACGTTACTATTTTCGTTATACATGTTACTATTTTTATTAAGTATGTTACTATTTTTATTGAACACGTTATTATTTTTGTTGAACATGTTACTATTATTTTATGTTTAAATATTACTATTTTTTATGTTTAAATGATATTATTTTTTGTGTGTAAATGATATTTTTTTTTTTACTTGAATGTCACTATTTTTTATTTTTAACCTATATATGAATAAAGATAGATATGAGAGATAAATTTTTTTATAATAGTTAAACTCATAAAATTTAGGAGTTTTTAATTTTGAGTTTTACTTCAATTTTAAAGTGAAAAGATATTATGGTAAAATTGATAAAAAACAGATTTCATAAAAAATAAATTTTCTTGGCGGACTTAAATTCAAATAGTCCATATAGGGGGATCGACCTCCAAATTTTTCAACTTTAAAAAGGTCAAAGAATTGACAGGGCCGGGCCAACAACGTAACCGAAAAAACGGGGGCTTTAGGCCAGAATAACAAAGAAGGCCCCATATTTTCTAATGTGTAGTGTAATCCAACCCAAATCTATATAATAAAGTAGAACGAATTTTGAATTCAAAAGACAAAGAGAGGTTTAGATCGTTTTGAGAAAAACATAAATACATCCAATGGACAACGTAATCCCAATATAAAATATGGTTCAGATCATCTCAAAAAATTTGATCTAACAGTCTACAGTTAGTCCTAAATTTCTTTTCCCGCCATGAAGAAATATCTTATCGTAAAACTCTGCACTCATATCTCTTATACGTCTCTATTTTAAATTTGAAAAAACACAATAACAATTCANTTATGAAAAACTAACCCAAAAAATCAATACATGCTCTGATAGATGTACGTACATAATCNATATCTCTTATACGTCTCTATTTTAAATTTGAAAAAACACAATAACAATTCAGATTGAATTCATTTTAAATTAAATGATCTAAATTTTATCTAAATTCATCAAACTTAATCCAATGACTTACAACACATCCCGCACAAAAATAAAATCCCACCAGGGGCAAAGCCAGAAAAATACTTTAGGGTGTNTGAGTACTTCCCTTAGTTGTTCGTTCTGTTTTCAATTCAATGTCTATACATAATATAAATCAAGGAATAGACCTTAAAAAAATTATGTTGATAAGAATCATTTGTAGAGGTCAACAAAGANCTTTAGGGTGTGCACATTAATAAATTTTAATTATTTTTTTTATCAATGTTACCAATGACTTAATTCAATGTAACTGTTATTTTAGTTGTAAATTTCAATATTAGATAAAGTCTACTTCCAATCAAAGAGGTGCATTGAATTATGTCATCAAATTAGATCTAAATAACATTTTTCATTTCTTTTCAATTGACCAAAAAAGTTCATAAATTCATATTTACTATAATTATGCGTAAAAATTCATAAAACATAAAAGGTTAAAAAACGATTTGANATTTACAAACAAAATATTAGTATTGATAGTAAGTATCGTATATATTCATCAGGTTCATATATTAAAACAAGTTACGATTTATGTCAGTTAATTGCATGGNACAAACAAAAAATAAAAGTAAATTAATTAAAACTTCGTATGAGACTAATTATTATTATTTTACAATTAAATCTGATTATAGTTTATCATTTAAAAGAATTACAAATCAATTATATCAATAGATACTTTTTTTCTATATACAAAATGGTAATTACAGTCTTTCATTTATTATCCTGTAATTTATTATNCCACATAGCACGACTGAACCAGAGAAAAGGGGAAAATGAAAATCAAACCGACTACTTTTCAACAACAAAAACTTTCATAGAATCAATATCCCTTAATAGTAAACATCTATTCACACGTATTAAAAATCAAACTACCTTCTCACACCAACATTACCTAAAAAAGCAATCTACTGATAATATTATTTGGGCACTGGGACTATTAATATTATTACTATACGATTGTAGCCAATGTGAATGATTAGAGTTCTACTCTTTTGGGTGTGAGCTTGACGCATTANCAAAAAAAAATTCAAAATTTAATTGGTAGGAACCCAATGGTTTGTGATTATTGGATGGATAGTAGACATTATTAAATGTAGGGACTCACTATTATATTTAATATTATAATTTATTAGTTCCAATAACATTATTTAAAAATTAATTATTATTTAAGTAGTCGTCTATCTTAATCGATATCACAATAATACAATAATAAGGTAGACACAATTAAATATGTATAAATTTTATTTTAAAAAATATATATTTATTGTAAAAAAAATTGAGGGTGGGCACAATTAAGTATATCTAAACTTTATTTTAAAAAACATATATTTAATGTAAAAAAAAAATTGAGGGGGGCACGTGCCCACCCGGTCTAAGGGTGGCTCCGCCCCTGAATCCCACCCAATTTAACTACACCCACATAATACTCATTTTGTCTAACACACACACCAAAACTCTTTCTCTTTCCCCCATTAACTGTCTTACCTCTTTGAGTTTTTCAAAAATTATTGTCATCCTTCTCAGTCTCTCATCTCTCTGTGCAGACCCCAAGAATGAACAGACCTTCTTCAGCAATACACGACACAATCCAAAGACCCACTGGACTTAACCACTCAGACCATCCACTCTCTTCCATCCAAATTGTATTGACAGTGATATAACCTTCGAAAGTACTCTTGCTGANTGTTTATTGTGTATTAGTGTGCATGTGTGTATTTTTGTTGTGTATTAGTACCTGTGTATTTTTGTTGTGTATTAGTATTTTGGTTATAAGAATGGGGTGTGTTTGGTTTATTAGTGCGGNAAAAAAAAAATTGAGGGGGGCACGTGCCCACCCGGTCTAAGGGTGGCTCCGCCCCTGAATCCCACCCAATTTAACTACACCCACATAATACTCATTTTGTCTAACACACACACCAAAACTCTTTCTCTTTCCCCCATTAACTGTCTTACCTCTTTGAGTTTTTCAAAAATTATTGTCATCCTTCTCAGTCTCTCATCTCTCTGTGCAGACCCCAAGAATGAACAGACCTTCTTCAGCAATACACGACACAATCCAAAGACCCACTGGACTTAACCACTCAGACCATCCACTCTCTTCCATCCAAATTGTATTGACAGTGATATAACCTTCGAAAGTACTCTTGCTGATACCCATTATTGTTTATCGTTGATGATTTTTTTGGTTTGGTTTAGTGGTGTATGTTTTGACAATAGTTTATTATTTTTAATTTTAAATGTTCGTGTGGTTTAGTTGTGGATGTATTGTTATTAACTGATTATTGTTAAATGTTATATGTTAAAAGTGTATTATTGTACTTTGATTTAGGTTGGTTTTGTTTAATTTCTAATTTTACGATATAATTTTACATAAAATTAAAAATATTTCTATTAAACACACATATAATACATAATATCTCTAAATTTAGTGTTTCTTTTTCAAAGTTTGACAGTTTAACATTTGACCTCAATAACCGCATACACACCATCATTACAACACAAAAATCAGTACCAAAATGGATAATGTCACCATTTTTGGACATGTAAGTTATTTAGTATATCAAATTTTTCAAAATTTTTGTATAATATTTCATTAAAAACCATTATATACTTATTATATAATTTTTCATCTTTTTTATTACAAACTGATTCATACCTAGAGTACATTGTAAGTAGATCTTCTTATCACACATCTTTGTACCGATGATTGATGTTTACTTCTTACTTTCTTATGGATCAATGAAGTTTAAATTATCTTTATAATCCATAAATAAAATCATCAAGTTATTATTCATACAAAAAATAAATCACTACTGTATGAAAACCTATAGTTCTCAGAAAATTTTAAAAAAATTCAAAACCCAAGTTAATCAGCAATTAAAAAAAAAAATAAGTAACCAATACAAAAAAAAAAAAGATACTAATTGCACCAACAAAAAATGTTCAAAACCAATCTAATCACTATGTGTTAAAATTATTCAAACATTCTATCTTTGTTTGTTGAAATTTTATAAGTAATATAGTGTTTTCAGGCACGACCAATGACTAGTTTCTAAATATGTGACAATATAAACTCCACAAAAAGCCTCAATAAAATGTACACCTAACAACTAAATTTCAGATTCCATAGTTAAACTAAAAAATACAGCCTACAAATTTTGCTGCAACGGCCAAAACTTAGTGCAGTAAAACAAAAACTGTAAAAGCAAAACTCTCATCTCTCTCTCTCACACACACACATACTCACACTCAGACTCTTATATCTCCAATTAAACACAAATAAAACTTCCTCTCTCTCACACACACGCAACTTTTCATCTTAAATTATACACCAAATCAAACTCACATAATATAAACCACTTATTTTGCAAACTTTGATTAACAAAAAAATAAAATATCAAATTTTAATGTTGTAAATAACCGTGACAAATCAAACTGTATTGTTGTTATATTTTTTTTAAGCTCATGTTATATTCTGTAATTATAGATACTATATGATTATTTAGAACTAATTTGTTGATTATGTATTATAGATATGGAACTAAAAAAATAATCATCTAGATATTAAAAATCTTTCTTAAAAATGACAAAATTTTAAAATAATTGAATCTCAAAATGATCTTTTTATTCCTATTACCAAACAAAATGTTATAGAAAAATAGGTTAAAGTCCTATAAACAAATAATTAATAGATCCCAAAAAATAAAAAATAATAAAATAATATAACAAAATAATAATAAAAAAAATATTCACGATGAGAATTAAACATATAAAATAACTGTACTAGATGCAAAATATACGAAAAAAAAAAATATTATTAACGAAAATTTTAAAATTAATAAAGTCTTACGTCGGGAATCGGGATATGTTGGATACGGCAGGGTATTAGTTCGATCTTTAAAAAAGATCAGGGTCCCCGGAGCAAATAAATGTTGGACCCTTATTTGCAAAAGAGAAAAGGAAAAAACCCTAAGGCCCTAACGCAGTCGACTGACACCCCCTCTACTCAGTCGACCATCGACGTTGCCCCTCTGTCTTACCTCCGACGGTCTCTCTCTTGACGCCGACGACGTCTCTCCTCCCTCCTGGTACTGCAAAGTGCAGCTTTGACGAGTAACGAGTCTCTCCAGTCCAGTCCAGGTATCATCGGAGCCCTAAGCTCTCTCCTATGTCTCTCTCACTCTGTCTCTGTTTCTATCTCCTCTCTTTTGTCTCGTACCAGTGATTAGGGTTTGCAACTAACTTTGGGGCCTTGATTAGGATTTGCTATTAAGGTTTTTTTGCAATTTCTAATAGGGTTTCTGCTGGGTTTTTTTTTTTTTTGACTAAACTGCTGTTTTCTTTTACTGAACTGCTGTCTGCTGGTTTTTTTTTTTTCTCGCTGAACTGCAATTTTTTTGATTTACTGTTTTTCGCTGAACTCTGTCTCTTCATCCTTTCTTCTGACTGAACTATTTTTTTGACCGAATTACTGCTTGCTGAACTGCTCTCTCTCTCTCTCTCTCTCTGCAATTTATGTGAACTGCTGCCTGCTGAACTACTGTCTTTTTTTACCTGCTGAACTGCTGACTGCAATTAGCATTGGTTTTATTAAATTAATAATCAAGGAGAATGAGTATGAATACGGAAAGTATGGGCTCAACTAGTGGAAGTGGAGGTGACACTCCCACTAATCAAGATGACAATACTCCTCTTTGGGGTTATGTTACTAAAGTAGAAAAATGGGTTGGTTATTATTATATATCTTTGATAGATGGGTGATTTACTTTATAAATCATAATTATTACATTAAATATAATAATAATTTTTAAAAATTTTTTTTATGGTAGTATCTTAGTTTTACCAATATCCTAGTTTTTTAGGTTTTGTCATATCGCTGTATCCGTATCTTATCGTATTCGTATCCGTGTCTCATAGCCTCATAGGTACCAATATATATTGTACTAAGCTTAGATTTCTTCGTTTTCATCAATAGTATATGCTCATTATTTGCCCTATTTGGATTCAAAACCTTCACTTTTTCAATGACGTTGATGCAATGAGCAACAAAAGTGTGAAAATTTTAATTTTTAAGAGTATAAAATAATTTTTTTTATTTTTCTCTGAGTACAAAGTATAATTCGCTCAAAAGAAAAAATATTTAAAAAAAAATAGGAAAAATCCGAAGGGCGCATATAGTCCAATCACTTCCACAGTTACTCACTCCCACGGTCCCTCCTCGATTACTTTTTTTATACTACGTCGTATTGGTCTTCATCTCCACTTCCCATCAAAACCCTATCTTCTCTCTGTTTTTAGAAACTGCTCTAGGGCTTTTCTGTCTCTAGGGGTTTCCTGTGATGCTGTAGCAATAGTTTTTCTTTTGAGAACTTCTTTTCACTTGAATACTCTATTGTAGCAAAAACCTAGCCATGGTTGAGATGTCGAAGAAGCATAAAAAGGGCTCAATCAGCGAGGAAGACATGTCCATTCTCTTACAAAGGTCTTTTCACGTTCTTTTTCAGTTTTTATCACATCACATTCATGAATATCACTGTGTGTTTATATACGTGTGTTTATGTGCACATGTTTTTATTGAGTTCATTCCTGGGATATTGTAGGTATTCGCCGATGACAGTGCTGGCATTGCTTCAGGAAGTGGCTCAGGTTCCGGGAGTGAAGATTGATTGGAATTCCTTGGTGAAGAAGACGGCAACTGGGATTTCCAATGCAAGAGAGTATCAAATGCTGTGGCGACATTTGGCTTATCGTGATTCATTGCTTGATGTATTAAAGGATGGGGCTGAGCCTCTGGTGAGTCTTACTTTTCATTCTCTCTCACTAGACCGTATATATGACGTTTGGTGACTTAAAAGTTAAATGAAATCTATGCTTTATTCTAGTTTTAGGGTTTCGTAAGTACATGAGCATCTTGAAAAGTTTGATGCATATTGGCACTGACTATGTGGAATATGAAGGACTTATAAACTATTTCTAGTTCTATAAATCAATGTGAATTCGGTGCATACTAGTTATTGGATGCTGGCAACCACACTATGCAAATGGCTTTGGACTGTTTCTGAATTTTGGTTGGAATGCCAGTGACCTTTTGATCTGTTATGAGTCTTATACCTACTGGATACTGGTTTTTGTAGAATCCAAGTAATTACTTCAACTAGGAAGGCTTTTTCTTTGTTCTGGTCTTATAATCAACCTTGAGGCCAACTTTTCTTGGCCACCAATTTCAGCACTAGTCTGTAGAGTATGTTTTGTAACAGGAAAAATTAGATAAGAATAATAAGGAAAAACTTTCAAATTCTGTTTTGCTTGTGGTTTCTTAGTCTCTTTCACTACCTTTGGTCTTTGAGTCAATTTTAGTCCATCACTACAAACAGCTTTGAATTCTTTACGCCAGGCTATGTTGATTTGGGTATTAGAGCATTGATTTTTAACTATGGCCATTTGGATTTGGATCTTGTACATGATGAGTGGAGATGTTGAGGAGATCAAGGCATTACTTGTTCGGGTTAACTGATGTTGGATCAGACGACTTGTCCAACTCTTTTTTTTCCTTTTTAATATACTGTTTTGTTATCAATAAAAATTGTTTGTTTCTTACAAGAGAGGCATTACTTATTGAAGTGGTTGAAGTTTCGTCCTAAACTCTTAGTTCATTCAGGGGAGTGTAGATTCTCTATCCCTCCCTAGGTATGACCTGAGAAAGAGTTAGTTTTTTAGTTGTAGTGCATCTGATCCTACTAGATGACATACTCCTATAATTGTTAGCACTACTGAAATAGCAGGCTCTGTCTTAGTTTCGGATTTTCTACTCCATCAGATGAACAAGGAGATTTTTGACTCAATTTTTTTACTGGATTTGAGAACATGGAGCTTTATATCCATGTGGATGTATCAAAAATATTTTAATTTGAAGGAATAGTATCTGTCTTTAATATTGGGCCTTCTGAATTCTATTTCAGGTTTTGTATAGGGGGGTGGGGGGAGAGAGAGAGAGAGGAGGAGGGTTATTTCCTGAAACTTTTAAGGTTGTGTGGCTTTGTAAGTGAATCCTGGCTCTTGAGATTCATGTGGCAGTGTTTTGATATAATAATTCTTGAAGAAACAATCTGAAAGGTTCTGAACAATTATGCTAGTACTTTGGTGTGCATGTGATTCTTTTTAAATATGAAAATCCGCATTGCTTTAATTTCCGCTTAATTGGGACTCATCAGGAATGGGTTTGTGGGATTATGAAATTGACCAATTGGAAACATGCGTATTATTGTACTATACAACCTGATACATGTTCAACTCTGTGCAGCCCCGTTGACTAACTTTTTAATCACGGCATGAACTATGAATTAGTCGGACTGATGATGCAATAGTTTACCAATGTAATGAAAACCAATGGTCAGCATGCTTTTATAACTTGCTGAAATTATATAAGCTGGAACAATATGAGTTTAATATACTCAACCTAAGTACAGTATCAAGGTTTTTAATCAGGAGTTGTGGTTCTGTTGGACTGGAATATCGATCAAGAGTCCAATACACATTCATTTTTATCTGATGGCAGGATAATGATAGTGATTTAGAATATGAACTGGAAGCTCTTCCCGCTGTTAGCAGTGAAGCTTCTGCAGAGGCTGCAGCATGTGTGAAGGTAAGTCAAATCAATTAGACACTTTTTTTTTTATGATTCTCTTCAGCAAAACCTGTTCTGAAAATTCAGGGTAAATCTTTGTGGAGAGTGTCCCTGCATGCTAATGGGGCTTCTCTTCTTCAAGGTCTCCTTACGTGCAGCACGACATGTTTGTTGGTGGCCAAACAACTCTATAACTGATTCTAATACTTATGTTCCCTATTTCTTACGTTATTAGACTTGAATTAATCTTTTTACCTAATAGAACTTAGCGGTCATTGTACCATGACCTTTGCAACTGAACATCAATTCCTTACTATGGACAGATAGCTGTAATGATTATATTGAACAAGAATTGCTTGCAGCATTAGGGTTTGAATCACGAAATTGTGATGATAATAGCAGATGTGTACTTAGTAATTGCTGCCCATGATATAGACCAGGCACTTGGGACAAGCAGGGGTGGCTCAAGGAAATTTGAAGTCTAAAACGAAACACTAAATAAGGGTTTTTTTTTTTTTTTTTAATATTAATTTTTTTTAAAAAATAATTTATTTTTAATTTATTATGTGAGAGAGACAGAAAAAGGACGTGTTAGTGTTGTTGAGAAAAATGTTTTAACTTTTGTTTCGTTTTTTATCGGAGAGAATGTTTAACTTTTTTTAATGTTTTTTACTTATTTTTACAGAGAGAGTGTGGGTAAGGGTAAATATGAGTTGATTTTTGAGTACTTTTTATTTATTTATTTAGTTTTTAGTTTTCTAATCTTATGAATTGGATCATGGATACAAATTATTACAATAAAATTTTGATTGTACTTAATTTTTTTGGGCCTTTTTTTTAGGGTTGAAAATTTGAAAGATTTAAATTTTTTCTGAGTTGGTAATGTACCTAAAATTATGGAGCCTTCGAAAAATTTGGGGCTTAAAGCCCAAGCTTTTTTTTTTTAATGCTGTTGAGCCGCCCCTGGGGACAAGCAACAGGGCTGCAAAATAATGCCAATTATTATGTTCTGCTTTTACAATCTGTGGTTCTCTGCCACGTGCAGCACAGGTATATTTACCTGTAGTTTTTGCAAAAAGCAACCATTTTAAATCCTATGGTGCTTAATGTGGTGAATGTATAGCAGATACTGGACATGTTTACTGCTGTTATGCTATCAAACCGATTTTTCTGGTATGCCGAGGAGGAAGAACATTCAATTTATGTTATCAGGTTTAATCTTTTGACATCTGCTGGCTTGCTGACTACGATCCTTAGAGCTATTGGTAACCAGGAATTTCTGCACAATCATGATGCTTGAATTGCATGTTTTTTTTGTTCTTTTTTTTCCTTCTGTTTTATTCAGTGTTAATATCAGCTGACTAACATTTTGGGAGAATTGTTGGCTTGATCAGGTATTGATTGCTTCTGGTATGCCAATTGGCTCGACTATTGAGGCTCCATTGACTATAAATATTCCTAATGGTCAATCATCCAGAGTTCCTTCAGATAATTCACAAGTTGCTAGTTTTAAGCAAGGGACAATCATTACTGTTCCAGTTTCTGTTCAAAAACAGCCACTGCCTACGTTGACTTCTGGTGAAGGGTTGGATACAAATGGTTCAGCAAGTGGCAGCCTGCCTGCTCGAAGGAAAAGAAAACCATGGTCTGAGGCAGAGGATCTGGAACTAATTGCTGCTGTGCAAAAATGTGGTGAAGGAAATTGGGCTAATATTTTGAAAGGAGATTTCAAGAGCGATAGAACTGCTTCACAGCTATCTCAGGTTCTTTTCTCAGCCACCACTGATTTTTGCTTTGTGATTGTTGTTTCTTCTTCCTTTCATCCTGCTAAGCATTTCAAATCTGTCATCCATGTATAAGTGACTCAATGCAATGCATCATCATTCATCTGCACTTTGTAAGTCAGGATGATACCAACTGATTAATATAACCACTTACCAACATTAGAAGAATTTTCTTAACGNGTTTTTTTTTTTTTTTTTAATATTAATTTTTTTTAAAAAATAATTTATTTTTAATTTATTATGTGAGAGAGACAGAAAAAGGACGTGTTAGTGTTGTTGAGAAAAATGTTTTAACTTTTGTTTCGTTTTTTATCGGAGAGAATGTTTAACTTTTTTTAATGTTTTTTACTTATTTTTACAGAGAGAGTGTGGGTAAGGGTAAATATGAGTTGATTTTTGAGTACTTTTTATTTATTTATTTAGTTTTTAGTTTTCTAATCTTATGAATTGGATCATGGATACAAATTATTACAATAAAATTTTGATTGTACTTAATTTTTTTGGGCCTTTTTTTTAGGGTTGAAAATTTGAAAGATTTAAATTTTTTCTGAGTTGGTAATGTACCTAAAATTATGGAGCCTTCGAAAAATTTGGGGCTTAAAGCCCAAGCTTTTTTTTTTTAATGCTGTTGAGCCGCCCCTGGGGACAAGCAACAGGGCTGCAAAATAATGCCAATTATTATGTTCTGCTTTTACAATCTGTGGTTCTCTGCCACGTGCAGCACAGGTATATTTACCTGTAGTTTTTGCAAAAAGCAACCATTTTAAATCCTATGGTGCTTAATGTGGTGAATGTATAGCAGATACTGGACATGTTTACTGCTGTTATGCTATCAAACCGATTTTTCTGGTATGCCGAGGAGGAAGAACATTCAATTTATGTTATCAGGTTTAATCTTTTGACATCTGCTGGCTTGCTGACTACGATCCTTAGAGCTATTGGTAACCAGGAATTTCTGCACAATCATGATGCTTGAATTGCATGTTTTTTTTGTTCTTTTTTTTCCTTCTGTTTTATTCAGTGTTAATATCAGCTGACTAACATTTTGGGAGAATTGTTGGCTTGATCAGGTATTGATTGCTTCTGGTATGCCAATTGGCTCGACTATTGAGGCTCCATTGACTATAAATATTCCTAATGGTCAATCATCCAGAGTTCCTTCAGATAATTCACAAGTTGCTAGTTTTAAGCAAGGGACAATCATTACTGTTCCAGTTTCTGTTCAAAAACAGCCACTGCCTACGTTGACTTCTGGTGAAGGGTTGGATACAAATGGTTCAGCAAGTGGCAGCCTGCCTGCTCGAAGGAAAAGAAAACCATGGTCTGAGGCAGAGGATCTGGAACTAATTGCTGCTGTGCAAAAATGTGGTGAAGGAAATTGGGCTAATATTTTGAAAGGAGATTTCAAGAGCGATAGAACTGCTTCACAGCTATCTCAGGTTCTTTTCTCAGCCACCACTGATTTTTGCTTTGTGATTGTTGTTTCTTCTTCCTTTCATCCTGCTAAGCATTTCAAATCTGTCATCCATGTATAAGTGACTCAATGCAATGCATCATCATTCATCTGCACTTTGTAAGTCAGGATGATACCAACTGATTAATATAACCACTTACCAACATTAGAAGAATTTTCTTAACGTTAAATTTAGGTTATTTTTTTTGTCTGCTTGATGGTTGTGATGCCTAACCAACAGCATACTACTTGCATTATGCCCTTGCTACCTCCTGATGGTGGTCCATGGATAATGGCTAGGCAACTCCTTCAGAATGTTTAGGCATTTGCTAATGCAAGTCAATGAGCACCTAGCTGAACATGGGGAACATTTTTACACTTAAACCTCTACGTCTATGATTCATATCATTGATCAGAATCTCACTTGGTTGGATGACTTTAGCCATTTGATTTTCACCAATTTCCAATAAATGAGAATCACAAATCACAAATGGCTAATGTGATAGAAAGCCACCTGGTGCCTTGTTTTGGTCATGTAGCTGTTAATTGCCAAACTGTATGTCTTTTTTCTCTTTGTCTTAAGTAATTGCCAAGTTCAAATGCAGTTTATGAATATTTGCATTGTGTATAGAGTAAATGTAGCATCTCGATACCAACCCAAAGACTAAACTTTGTCTGTAAATTAGGTGTCTTTCCCAAGTGCCAATAACTGCAGAATAAATCGTTTTAATCATTTTCATGAAATAAAACCTTTGCTTCTAGCAAATTTATGAGTTGTAGACTTGATTCAAGAAGTAATGGGCACAGTAAGTTATGTCCTTTCTCTATTATATTTTTCTACATGAACTGTTTGAATGATATAATATTTCGTGCACCCATGGATCAGCAGGACTATCCTTGATAAAAAGGAAGCTTAATTCTGGGCATTACCTTGAGACCTCATTGTTCCCCTCATGCATTTTCCTTAACTTGCCCAAAATCTTTGTCCTTTTTTTGGGGGGAGTTTTTCATTTTTTTTACCTCTTGACAATGGTATCTGTTTCAATGTTTGAAATGCTTTTTGAGTCTTGTTTTGTTTCCTATTAAAAAAAAAAATGCTTTCTGAGTCTTGTTCTCCTGGGAGGGACCAAATGTGCAGCCTTATATGTCTTTCGAGATTCTCATTTAAGTTTTTCAAGATACTAATTTGCTTTAATTCAAGACTAGTTCACTGATCGATGTTAATGCATGAATTTGTTTGGTTGACTTGTCTTTTTTATGATGGGCTCCACCACACGAGTTTTGCATTAATTTTTGGATTATAGTGGCCCCTGTGTGCTAATTGATTGTAGTGTACCTTTTTTGGGAGCCTACTTGAAGTTGTATGAGTGGAACATGTAATATAATCTATGGTAGAACTTACTTTTCTCATTTTTGTCTAATTATCAGACTGCCAAAGTTCCACCTTGCTGTATTAATCATGTATAATGTGTGGAAAGCGAAGCCAACCTCCTCCTTTTGGGGGTATTTCCCTCCTAATTGATCATGTGAAAACAATTTCACATAAGATAAAAAGTTCTGATTAACATAGTTTTAAGTGCACCACATTATCTGAACTTCCTCCCACTTGCTCTTTGAGCGACGATAATATGCATCATGCATGCTTTCAGGCTTAGAAAAGAGTATGTGAAAAACAGTTGTTATATATGAATTATCTGTTTTCTTGCTACTAGTCTGATCTGATACTTGTCACTTGTAGAGTTTCATATTTTCATGATCCTTGAAAGTTTGGAGAACCTTGTCATGAGTTTTGAATTTTTAGGTCAGTTATCAAACACTGCATACAGTAATATTAGCTGTTTAATTTCTAAGCAAGGCTCTTTTCTGGGGCTTTCTTGGAGTAAAATTTGAATATACAATTTGTACATGTTTTCTTCATCCTCTCAGCACCCTTTTCCAGGTAAGAAGAAAAGAGAACTACTATTGCATGTCTTTGGCATTATACTATGCTATCTTAGGCAGTATAATGCACTGCAGCCTGTTTTTCCAACCCACAATACTAAAGGCAATTGGTAAATTGCAATGTGTGATTGCCCTGATTAAATGCCATTATAGATAGATTTGTTTTGTGGTTATACAGGCAAAAGACTCAAAACCTCTCTATGGATCTGAGTTTTCTGGCAGTTTCCAAATTTCTTTCCCCCTTTTAAAGTTGTCATTGAATGGAAAGCTAAACTATTGAATTATTTCTATCCGTTGTCATCTAGCATGGTTAGGATGTCTGGGTTTTGCCCAGGTTTCCCAGGTTCAAATCCCGGCAACGGAATAAATGAACTCTGTTGTGGGGCTGTGATTATATGTGTGTGTGTGTGTGCGCGCCTAGATATATTGTTACGATCTGCATTATATGAATTTGATAATATATTTGGCCATGTCTATTCTGTTTGGTTTTCGTTGCTTTTCCTACTAATATTTACAATATAGAGGATATGTGCAGAGGTGGGCTATTATCAGAAAACGACAGGGCAACATGAATATTGGAGGAGGCTCACAACTTTCTGAGGCTCAACTGGCAGCTCGGCGAGCAGTGTCTCTTGCCCTTAATATGCCTATGGGGGATAACTTGAAAGCAACTTCAATCAGTATGGGTAATTCTCTCCACATCCAGTCATGTTTTAGTTTTTAGAAGTGCTTAACCTGGCTAAGAATCAACTGATTTTAGGGTGAATGTGTCACTTTTGATGGGATATTATGCGGGATATCTTAACAACTGAATTTTGAACCTTTTTTCTTAGTACATTTTACATGTTACATATTAAGCTGTCGTGGTCCAGTACATATCAGACTTGTTTGTGGAGAAGAATGTTCTGTTGTCAAAGGTGCATGAATCAGGCGGTTCATGTTGTTTTAAGGGGTTTCTTTGGAAAAAATGGGTTCAGTGGTTAAGGCAATTGGCGTAGGTTAACGCAACTCAATAAAGCCTTATCTTAACTTTTTTGGGGTTGGCTACATGAATTTGGTTTCTTCGTTCTGCTATATTAAGAGCTATGCTTTCAGTTCCCATAAGCCATCATATCCTGTGAACACGTGTGCAGCTCTATTAAGCTGTTCTATTGATTGGCTTTGGTTTAATATGTGGATGGATCTTCTTACTCTGCCCACTGTCATGTGAGTGCCATCTTCTGTCAGCTCATATGAGGGGGAGGTGTAGGGTTCATGTTCTGGCATAGAAATGGGTGCATTTGTCACCGAAAATATTGGTAATTATAGCAAAAAAAGAGAGTAAGTATTGAAAAAAAAACTGGTGGAGCTTCTCAATTGTTTGGAGATGACCTGAATTGCTTTGCTGTTTGGTACTGTTTGATTATTGTGTCAAAAGCATAATTGGTCCTTTTCTCCTCCTCTTTTTTTTTGCCCCCCCCTGTTGGGAAGTGTTTTATTCTGGTAAACACCTCGGTTAGAGATGAAATATTTGCTCATTTGGCTAGTTTATTATATTCCCCTTGTTGCTGTTTTGTGAAAGCTTGATTAATATCTGTTGGAAATTATTTTCCCGATTAATCTGTTTTAAATTGATACAGCTGGGACAAATTCACACATCACACCTAGTAATTCTGTACAGCATACTGCTGGGGAAGCTTCATCCGTTGGCTCGCAATCCCAGCATCCGCCCCAACAAGATTCTGTCCAACCAGTAGCACTTCGGACAGGAACATCAGGACCTTTGTCAAAATCTCGAGTGCCCCCCAAAAAACCCTCTCCAAAGTCTAATCTCAGCCCAGATTCATTGGTAAAAGCAGCTGCAGTTGCTGCTGGGGCTCGCATTGCTACCCCATCGGATGCTGCATCACTGCTCAAGGCTGCACAGGCGAAGAATGCTGTTCATATTATTCCCGGAGGAGGTTCTTTGATGAAGTCATCGGTGGCTGGTAATGGAAATCCACTGCCGCCTAATGTGCACTACATTCGTACAGGCCTGGCAGCTACACATTCCACCTATTCTAATGTTCCGCCCAATGCCTCACGAGCTGGTGGAACACTGCAAGTGCAAGTTCCGGCTCTGAAACCTGCAGCTCTAACTGTTCAGCTTAATCCAACGAGCACTGCCCCAGAATTAAATGCATCATCTGAAGTGATAAATGCTGCTACCTTTATTTCAACCATTGAACTTGAGGTCAATACTGCAGAAGATGTTATGTTGGGTTCAGGCAATGAACTGAAAGAGGATCGAGACGCTGTTGCAGGCTGTGCACCAACACAACTTGTCCAAGAAGATCAAGTTGCTTTTTCAGGCAATGCACTTACAGAGCAAGTCCAGGAAGATCAAGCTTCTTTTTCGGGCAATGCACCAGATGAGCAAGTTCAAGAAAGTGAATCTTCTGTTTTAGGTTATGCTCTGAAGGAGCACATTCAAGAAGATCAGGCTTCTTTTTTGAGCAAGAATCCAAATACACTAGTTATAGAAAATCAAACTACTTTACCAATCTCGGAAGCAATGCTAAAAAGTCAAAAGGATTTTGCTGCGGAGTCTATATGTTCATCATGTGCAGACACAGCTGGGAATGGGCATATGATTATGATTGGCAACCAGGTTGTTGCTGAGTATAAGAGCACAAATGATGATACCATGATGGATTTTCCAGGGGAGGACGCAAGTGAAAACCAATCTGCAGTTAAGAATATTTGTGGGAATGAGATTGTTAATGGGGAACAAGAGGAGTTAACAAGCATGGTTGTGGATGAGTGTGATGAAAAAGTGGAGTTGCCATGCAAATCTGCAGCTGGACCTCAGACAGTGGAGGAAGAAAAATGAGCGCTTGGGTAGGAGTGACTCTGCAAAATACTTCCCTCTCAATTTGTATGTAGCTTTGCTTCAGGTTTTTTTTTTTTTTTTGTGAAAATCAAATCTTTCTCCATTTTGAGGAACAGTAAATAAAGTCTTGTGTGATATATTGATTTGTAAATTGTGTAATAGCTTTTCTTTTGAGGTCGTCGTGAATCACCAAGGATGCATTTTAGCATTATAGGAGCTAGGGTGGAATGTGTTTGGAAAGGGACAGTCTCATCTTGAAGAAAGGCTTAATCAACCCCACTATTCTTGCAATGCAATGAATTGGGTATGGCATACCCTGTTTCAGAAATTTATTCAGAGCCCCCAAAAAAAATTAAAATAACAAGCTTCTAGATGATTGGAGGCATCAGTAAATGTCAAGATATGTATCACATAAAGCATTTTTGTGAGTGAATCAGCCTCTCACTTGTGAATTGCATTGATTGAAAGGGAATCCTTCAATTGGAACCCCATGGCCAGCATTCCGGCCAGCAAACCCTAGCTTGTGTGCGCATGTTTGTACGAATGGGAGAACCAAAGAACTGTAACTTAATCGACATCAGAGATGTTATTTACAGTTTAACAATTTCATAAGACTTGACTCAAATATTTACAGCAATATATTCTCCTTTTTTTCCTCCACCTCTGGGGATTGGATCTATTAACAGAGAATATAAGAAACATGGACCTACTTTTCATATGTACAACTTTTATTTACATCAAAGAATATGAAAGCACACCCCAAGCAACCTTTTATCTTCTTCTGGCTTCATCTTTCTGTCATCTGCAGCAAATTCACATTACACCCTACACCCTTGTGAAGACAACTGACGCCCACTTCTTCTTGGCCAACTCTGGACCAAATAAACAAGGAAACGAACCTCAAACCCCAACAGAAGCTAATCCTCGTCTACTAGCAATGTTGAGATAAACAGAGAACACTGTTTTTTCCTCCTTTTCCCTTTGTTTTATACAATCTTGAGTTTCTTTGTTGTTTTCTTCCTTTTTTGATTTCTTTTAGTTCTCCCCGTTGTTTACCATAACACTTGTTCTTCCAGTTTTCTAAGATGCAGCAAGAGTAGAATAATCAGGATAAATATGCAACTCTAGGTGCCCCTGGTTGTCGGCTGTTTTGCAGGGAAGAGAGCCACTGTTCCATATACTTCTTGTTCTCTGCGCTATAAAAAATGGAAACAGCTCTTAGGTAAACACATTCTATGCTAGACAAGCTTGTGCCAATTCAAACTGCAATTTAAAATTCTCCCTTACATCAGATACCCTATTCAATTAGCAGCATGTGTTTTAACTGCAGAACAATGATTTTAAGTTTCTAACTGAAATTTCGATCTTCTTGATATAATTTTGATCACATTCAAAAAGAAAGGAAAAGTGCATAGATAAGAGAAAATAACTAGACAATGGATTAAATTTTGCAGAACATGACTCCTACCAGCAGCAAATGTATCCGACATGTACCCAATGTTGTCCAAAAGCTTGTCCTTCGAATTGTCCTCCATATCCTCACAACCATGTCTATAGCAAGGAACCAACACTGCAAAGCTATCATCTACATAATCATCACTCTGGAAACCAGGCCCATGAGGCTCCAACCATCCTATTGACCAATCTGAATCATCAGACTCAGACCCCGAAACACATCCACCATCTGATGGCACCAAAACAACATCATATTCCCTGTTCATTTTTCTTTCCTCACGGCTATGCCATTTTCTTTTACCCCGTTTGGAATTGGATGAGGAGGCCGTATATGTCCGATGAACCAATGGGAATTTCACACTATCCAATTCCCATAGATCCAAATCAGGTGAAGTACTTATAGACGACCCATTGGGGATTTTGGCATCTTGATGCTTTCCACTCCACAACCACCAAGACAAATTGGAAAAAGCTATAGCCATATCTCACCCAACCCAAAACTTGTACCACCCACGACTTGTCTGAATATCTAGATTAAGGTTTCACATAATAAAACGCAGACAAATAGAGTTTAGACAGAATGCTTGAAAGATTGAATAACAGAGATAACAACAACAGTAATTGCAAAAGTAATCTAAGACCAAAGCAGTTGATAGCAAAGGAAAAAAGGTTACACTTATTTGCTGGGAAAAAACCAAGAAATGGAAGTAGCTAAAATTTTGCACAAGTTTTCATTATAAGCACAAGAATCCCAATCAATTCAGCCTACAAGTCTTCCAGACGACTAGTTTGAGGTGAAATTTTGTACAGTTCTGGAAAGCAAAACCAGTCACTTCAATGAAAAAATCAACCTTTTTACTTTCTCTTCCCATATTTTCTTCTCGGATACCAAACAAGTCACATAATCCTTTTTGCAGAAAAGTAAAAATTGCCAGCAAAAAAGGGGGAAAAGGGAGGGGGGGGGGGGG